TCATTTACGCCTTAGACGCCGTACGGGAAGACCAAGAATAGCAACCAACATCGACAATGAAGTGATCATATCAATATGTTTTACATTTTGGTCACACACTGGACACAACTATTGACTACTTACTATCATTTCGTAATATTGTTTGAATGTTTACCTGATCTGTACATATGTTATGAGCATCAAAATTTTTGTTGTTTTGTTTAGGTTATTCGCGAAAAACTACAAAAGAGCTACCTTCACCAGCTATACATAATTTTGAACTGACAGACTAGTAGGAAAGCATAAACAACGCAAACCTTGACTCTGAAATCCACAGTATCCAATACTAACCAAATGGCCACGCTCGGCTGTAAGAAATTTTAATTACTCGCAAATATTGTGATTTTATGCGAAACACGCCACTTTTAATTAATGAATATCTGGTACGCATTTAGACAGTTAGTTGAAACAGGAGAGTCACTGAGGGGGGGGGGGTAATAGCAGTTTTTATGAGACATTGCTAGTCAGGCCGCATTAACTACATACACAAATTACGCCATAGGGTAAGATCCCCACTTGAACTGAAGGCCCACAAGATATCAGCCTTCTTTGTCCCAATCACTAAGCCTTTTGGGAAATGACACTTCTGAGTGGAAAACAAAGTCAACACATATGGGTCCGACCTGGCAACACCTGGTGGTTAGGGGGCTCGACTCGCAATCTACGGATCAAGAGTTCGAATCCTGTCTAAATTAGGGACAGCAAGCGAAGATAGCATCGAGTAGTTTTTCGCAAAATTCCAAAAGAAGCCAAAAACATGTGTCTTGAGCAATCTTCTGTTCTACATGTTTCGCATTGAAAAGGACTACGTATATAATTGCTTATAATCTAATTATTTAATCACAAACAAAAAAAAGTACATTTTCAATTGAATAAAACCCATAAGTAAAACGGTTCAACCCATGTCATCATACCTGACGAGGTATTAACCAGTAGCCTCATCGTCCATTAACTCATTTCAAAAAACAAGTCAATTGATATGAAACAAAAATATTTTCAGTGGAAATACAGCAGAACTGGACCCTACCACTGCAATTCACACAACCTGAAACATTATTCAAATCATTAACGACTGTATAAACCAGTATACATAGAGGAAACAATACAGTACAATGCTGCTTTAGCAGACCACCAATACCTACAGCTACTCTGTTTGCTACTGTACCACTGTCCATAGGTTAAGTTAGAATCACAGCGAAAATACTCATATCAAATCAACTAGAAGAAGGATTTTCCACTACGCTTTATTACAGCCCAAGTCAATCCCTGTGCTATTTAACAGCACATTTCCTTTACTGTATGCACGAAAGATTAATTCACAAACATCCCATTTGAGTGTTTGGATAGTAAGGATCATAAAGTCCTATTAGTCTATGGATGTATTAGAATCTCTAGCAATTATTATCAGTTACACCAACTGTTAATTTTCCAGGTATTAAACATAACAATCTCAGTTGTCCTAACTATAATGAATGAGAATCTCTAACAGAATGCCCACAACTCCACTTCACAGCTCAGAAAGTAAGGGGCATAAAAACCTTTTTCGGTTTCAGAACTCGCAACCATCGTCAGTTGAAATACTATTGTCATCCTAAATAACTGATTCATTCTCAACCACACTGACTGGGAAGTTTATGTCGTCATAACGGCCGATTTCCTGAACTGTTGTTCTACTGATACATCTATCTTTGACTCATCATAAACAACCACAGAAGCATTTGTGGTATTTTTTTCTTCTCGTCAGTTAGGATGAGATGGTTAAGTATAGTGCTCTCATTATTTTGTGTACCACACTGATCACTGCAGCTCGTTGTTTGACACTGATATTTTGAACTGTTAGATACGGATCAACGTAACCAGAACCATGCTCTCAGCAAGTATCAAACCTAAACTCAGTTTTGAACTTACATTTCTTCAATATATTAACAAACCTTACAATATCCATTCGCTTAAGTATTAGAAGTTGGACCATAGATCACATCCACTGAGAGCTGTATTACGCGTCCAAATATCAGTAAGTTTGGAAAACAACCAGATGACTGTTGCTATGTTAACCTTTGTGTTCATCTCAGTCACTTCAGTAATAATTCAAAAACTTTATATGTCAATATAAGCAGTTAATTCAAACTAACAGAATGATTCAAATAACCAGTTGCTAGTGTTTGTTCTTTAATCCATATGAGTTTTATCCAGGTGCTACAAATCATGCTATACACTATCCTTCTAAAATATCAGTGATAGATTGTGCTATAGTGTTAACAAAAGCCTACTCGGTGAAGTAATTGGTAAAATCTAACGTATATTGTTTATCTTTATCAATCACAAGGAAATGACCAGCTATACTAAGTATCAATGTTTGCAAAAAACCTACAACTCTCTTAAGGAGTTCATCTTAACAAAACCAACTTTTCCTCTAAACAGCACAACAGCGCGGTATTTACATCACGTCTCAAAGTTTCGATATTAATATGTTCAAAATAACCACTCTTGCATCATGTGTTACTTGAAAATGTGAACTTCCTGGTGTCCTCAGTCCTTGTATAATTGTAAAATATAAAGCATCTCTTGGTTCAGAAGCTTTGGGACAAGTAGCTTTATCACAAATCAAGAGCTACGTTTCCATGGTTCACAACAACAGTATAGCAAACCTTATTGCATTTGTAACTGCTGTATAATTTCCAAAAGGTTAGTGTGTTCATGTTGCATTCATTGAGCATAAAAAAATGCTTGCTTTACCTCGCAAGCAGAACTCATGCTAAATCTGGGTCTTTCAGCTGCTTATCTTTAAACTCCATATTGGTCAAAAGGAAGTCAATCTACTAGTGAGATCATCGCAGCCTGCATGAATCATTGCAGCTGCTGGAATGACCTTTACAGCTGCATGATATCCAAGGACTCAGACATACAACAAGGGGACAACCTCATTTAAACTGGCAAGCTAACCTGGGAGATGTTGTAAAACAAAGTCGTACTAATACTAATGCAGAAAAAATCCAACATGCAGTCATATTTCAGGCTTTTAAGATTCATCAGCCATTTCAGTAATACATGATTCCCTTAATCAGTGAACTTGGATACTATACAAGTTATGGTGGTAATGTTTCACAAGTATTACATCTTCAAACAGTTCTTTCTGTATCACACAGTATTGATATTAAGAACCACAAAATGCGACTGGCAAATGTTATCACATACCCTACACCTTCCTATACCTGTGACAACACAACTACAATTCCACTATCACAAGAATCTTTTAAGGACCTTATTTAGGATAAATGGACAATCTGACCTGAGATAAGTCAAAGCTTGAGCCTCAACTAAAGCACATTTCAGTAATTTAAATGTTTGATTATAGTTTCCACTCGTATGAGGGTTTTCTAAGGTACATTGTTGGCAGAGTGTTCACTGAGCTTTCGAAAATCACAGTAGTTGAGGGATGACCCCAGCTCTTGATTAATAAGGAAGTCTGCCACTTAATAGGCTTGTCATATTGGGGTCAGTTTCTTCAAGATAATTAAACCAATACTTGCCGTCACTTAAGCTCATTCATAGTTTAAATAGCACATGTACAAGCATACACCTCGTTTCATTTTCAAGCCTGATTTCTCTGCTTAGCAGAAGACTGAATCATGTTAATAAACACTAGCATATCATCCACATTCAAGACACATCTCTTATTATAAGCCCTGTGGTGTTAGTTCCTTCAATCACTGGAAATAATAAGATGGCAAGTGCCATAACATTCATACAAATTACAAGTCAGTTCAAGTGCTAAAAAGCAGTTTTAAGTCTACTTTTGTTATACAGCTCCAGTAGACAAATGTTAATCTAATGTTTCGCATCAATTGCGTCTTTCAGTACATACAAACATTCATCTGTTTACATCGATAAAAATGTGTCAGTACACGTGAACACGCTGACTTGTCTAAAATCAACACAGAACCTCTTTTCATCCTTTCTAATCACTTCTGGAGATGGAAAAGTATTTTAATTAGAAACTCGTGGTATTATTTTAGTGCAAAAGGTAAACAAAGAAGCTTATCTGATACACACAGAAACAAATTCTTGACATGGCACCAAATTTGTTCTTAATAATCTGTAGTATTTTTCTTGTAAAAGTGGGTTCAACAGGTAAGTTCTTAATACCACATGAGGGGGAAATGGGGTAATATCTTTGCAGATCCTGAAATAATCAAAACTGGTAAAAAATGATGGAAAATGCACCCGGATAAGATTATAATTATAAACACAATTAAAAGCGCCATCAGGGTTGCCATAATGTACCCCATGAATAGAAAGACCACTCTCCAAACGTCTCTATCTTTACAAAGAAATTAAAATGCCAGACAACCCACTCAAATAATTATCTGACAAATAGCCAGGTGCAAATATTCAACCTGGATCAAAACAACAAATCTAAGAGGCACTTTCTAAGGGCACTGTAAACGTAGTTCAAGGATGGTCATTCCTGTTTGTCTAGAAGTTGCAACTAAGGTCAGAAACGTGCTAACAATTTTAAAACTACTTGATTAAAGAGACATCAATATGTTATGTTACAAAAGGATAAAGTTTATGATTTATACATATCACAGTTCAAAATATATCGACGCTTGACATGGAACATTTGTTTCGTTTATTCTACAGAAATAGTTACACACCGCTTTCAAATTTACTAAGAGTAAGAGCTTATGTTAAACTAAGTCACTGTTGAGAATTTAAAACTAAAATATATGGAATAAACCATTATCCGTTTAATTGTATTACCTCCTGATTCTAATTTACAATTTGCTGGATGCAGTTTAAGATTAATAAAGTACTTAAAAATTGAAACATATTGTACAACTTTGCAAAAACTGACATGTATATTATCAAGAGTTTAAATTTTTATTCGATTCACAACGGAACAGTAAAATATATTGATTTTTTTTTATCTACATTTATTAGATTTATGTTTTCCTTACCTATATTTACAAGTTTTATGTTGTCAGCAGCCATAGCGTTTAGCGCAGTCTGTACGTTTTCCAGGTACTGGTGCTGATTGATTGGTTTTCTAATCTTTTTCAACTTTTTCTTCTGGAGTATTTCAATCAAAGCTAGAAGTTTCAGTCCATCACAGAAATCTGTTCTTAAATCATGCACTATTAAATTCACTGGTTTTAATTGCTCGTTTACCCAATTCGTAAAGGTTTTTTCTTGAATCTCAATCCAAATAAACTCGTCACCTTTAATATTCATTGCACGTGCTGCATGGCCCTCAGGTGAGCGCGCCTTCAGTCCAATATGACTAAAGCCTAAGTCGCCTTGTTTTTCACTTTCCATGGTTCTCAAATTAAAATAGAAATAAATTTAATATCATTAAAACACATCTTTTACTTAAGCATGCTGACAAACTTTTCTAAACCAGGCCGTCTTCCATGTCACGTATCGTTAAAACCAAGAGACCTAAAACGTCAAAGCAAACTGGCCTGCTACAGCCTACAGTCAAAATCTGCGGGTCTTGACGTAACACTAACGTTGCTTATTGTTTAGATTACAAATGAATTATACATTTAAGCCTTCATACAATTCACTTCACCTTCCTTAAGTTTGTTCTAGACAACTAAATTTATTTTGCCGAACACAATTTTCTCTTCCACTATAACACAACTTTCTATCTTTGAAGAATTTGTACTCAGTATTTCCTTTTGCCACCTGTTACACACGGCTTAGGTGAGCGGGTCGATTTATCATGGTGGCAGGAAAATGCGCGAATGGAACACGGTACAATTTTTGTGTAGGGCGTGGCTATTGTGACGACAAACGCCAGTCACCAACCCCAACACACTAACTTGAACTTTCCGTATCTTGTAAAATTCTCGTTAAATTTAGCCATTCTAAGCTAAAAATTAATACTCCAAAGTACTTTTAATATAACATTCCACGTCAGATCCTTAGGTTTTTAAACTTATATTTTGCATACACAGAATTTTTTAAAGATGTACTTTCATTACAATAACATGAATAACTGCTTTTCAATTGTAAATTTGTAGATTGACCCGCTTTCCTCTTTGACTCGCGGAAGCTCGTTCTTAAGTTACGCTGAGACAATATTTACTTCCTGGTCAAATTATGTTTGAAAATTTAAAGCAATGCAAATAAACATACACATTCACACACACACACACACGATAAATATACAGTGCAAAACAATGGGTCCGTTTTATTCAAACAAATATCAAAATAATTTATTGTGAAAAATTAATTTATTCGTGAGTAAACATCCATAAAATAATTCATATGATAATTATAATTCAGTTAATTCCTTATTAAAAGCTGGTTTTCTTGACTTTATGGTAAGAGATTCTAACATTATAATACAAGGTGGACAAGACATTCAATTAAATAAATAAAAAGCTCAAATACATTTAATGAACATGTAATAGATGTTACTCCATAGTAAAAAGCTTAATAACATAACGAAGGCAAATACAAGAACACTGAAATTAGTTACCATTTAATGTTCTTGTCTAAGCACAATTTTTTATATTATCTAAATAATCCTTTAGGTACGTATAACATTGGAGATAATTGTGGAAATCGTGAGAAAAATAAGGTAAATACTTTATGATAATTACATGAATAAAGAAAATAAAGTTTTTGGTTTACTAAGTATACTCCATGCCAAAAATTGTGATAAGATTCCATGTTTCAGAAGAAGCTGTATGTAAGATTCTGAAGAGGGTATGTGGCTGAGGTAGAAAATCAAAAATCTCCAAAAGCGATGTTAAGTACCTCAGGGTATGTTCTTTATGAGATTGTTAATGGTCAAGTTCAGATTTTGACAATGACGCTGTTGTCAATACAGTTAACAGGAGCGAATCCAGGATTTTCTTAAAGGAGGGGGGGGGGGTCCAAAACTTGTTAACGTATAAGCAATATCACATGAATTAATACATATGTCATTACATTAATGATGAGACAAAATCAAATTAATATTTATAAATATCTTTCATAGGTTTTAGCACAATGTTTTAGTGAATCTTATTTACATAATTCATTATTTATATATACAAAAAACACCCAGAGAATAACCCACGTTTGTGATTATTAATAAACATTTGCCATACTACTTCTAAATCATTGTTCATCACATTATTCATGTTTATTAGAGTGAGTCCAGCAAGTCGTTCTTCACACATGTTGCTTCTTGGAAACGTCTTGACTCTATGTAAGCATGAAAAAGAACGTTCAGCCTCACAGCTGCCAACAGGAGTACATCCTAGCCGGATTGATGTTCTGACATTTGAGCATATTGAAGACAGTCCATCATATTAAGCAAATTATGTTTGATGTCCTCTCCTTTCCACTATCTCTTCATTCTTTTACTTCTGCCCATAGTGATGATAGTTGAGGCAAGTCTTGCTTTCAGAGCATAAACCCATTCACTACCTGCTGCAAAAACTGTCCTCGATATCTACAATTACTTCAGGAAGGATAGGAAGAATTTCTCTACCACGTCGACTTTATGTGTATACAAGGCCCTCGGGCAGGAGGGACTGCAAGTGCAAGACTGAAGTGGTCAGACCGTCAGAAGCAGGCTGTGTGCAGTAATATTACAAGTAGGACGGGTCACAAGAACTGTTCGCATCTCTCGGACCCCATTGGCCAAGGCATGGCTGTTGTACAGTCCATATAGTTCCCCCACAATTCCTTATCCACGTATAGTGTCCTGAGATAGGTGGAATACCCATAATACACAGCTCTACTGGCAGAGTACAACAGCTCTCTTTTGCTAGTTGGACTAAGGTCATGCAAGGTGACCTACTACTTCTTTCTCCTTTCCTGATGGAGGAACAAGAGGATTAACACCTAACTTACCCATACTAATCCTCTCACCCTTACCTGAACCATGTACACCTGGCCTGTTTCGTCAGAAACTTGACCTATATATTTATGACTGCCTGTGGCTTTATTCCTGAGAATGAGGAAGAGGGCACAGCATCATATTTGACTCATATTCAATAATGATGGTGTCTCACAGGGACTCATTGTGAACTAGTCTCTGACTCTCCCCTTGCCAAAATTTCCATAATTTTTAAAGGAAAACAAAGAGGGTCTGGACCACCTTCCTAAATCTGCCACTAAGTTATTAGAGTTATCAAGAAGTGTAAGATACACATTAGCATGAAGTAGTCTCATTGGACTTGTAGCTGTTCAAAATCTGCTATTAAGAAGAAGCAATCAAACTAAAATATTGAAATTGGACCACAAACAATTAAATGAGCAAACATGGAGATATATGGTCTTAGCAGATGAATCTAGTTCAAATCTTTTGGTAACAATGAACTATGGGCATCTGCAGAATTTTTTCCAGGGTGAGGTAAAGTAGTGTGAAATTGTGAATTGAATAAAAAATTCATATACATATGCTAAATGAATAAAGAAAGAATTATGCTTCTCATTTTCCAGGTGGGTCAAGTGTCACCCTTGTCGCTCCCCCCCATGCAGACGCCCATGCAATGAACAACAGTTTTTTGACAGCAGGAAGGAGAATGGTATTACAGTCAATTTCCACTATAGAGAAGCATGTGGGGGATCAGTATAAGTTTGGATTTATACAAAATTAATGGCACCCTGATTTCTGAAAGGAACATTTTTATTTTAATACATTATGTCATTCTCTCAGGGACGTGACTTATTGAACGGGGGTTCATATTCCAGTAAGCCAATGATCTCAAGTACACACCAAATATGTTAAAACAATATCTTGACACTAAAGAGATTGATGGAACACTTATACAGCCATACCTTGGCCTGCACAAAGTCTCAGTATGAAAAGTACTGAGGCTGAATAGGCTTATGTAAAAACTGAGAAGGCCAAAAGACAACCATATAACTTGGATGAATTATATGGAGTAATATGGGACATTTGGAGAAATATTCCACAATCGTACATTGATAAACTGTATGGTACAGCATAGAAACAAAATGTAATGCTCTGTGTAAAGCAAAGGGCTTACATAGAAAATACTGGTACATTGCACAACTTATTTGCCCTTCTTTTGTATTGTGTACCATTGATAATTTCTCTATTTAGTTATTATTGTTCATTGCTTGTGATTCCTATGTGTATTATTTGTGTGTTTCCATAATTATTTCCATTACCACATATTGTAAATGCATATATAATACACACATTTACATGTACATATATATTTATTTATTTTTGGAAAGCCCTTGCAAGAGAAAATTCTTTTATATTTCTTTCATGATGATCATTTTGCAATACTCATACTTTTAATGTACCTGTAATATATGAAAAGGAGTTGTTAGTAACAGTTTTCAGGATAATTAATGTAGCCATGAATTAAGATTACTATATATAACATACATTTAGTAATATATTCTGCCTGTTATTATTATTTGGATGAATATCTGAGTTAGCAGTCTCTCCTGGAAATAAAATATATGCAAATTTATAAAGAGTGAAATAAATAACAGGTAAATGCAGAACATCTTAGGAAACATATGCCATTATGGGAGATTTGTGATGTATCAAAAAATATTAAGCTGAATATAAAAACCATATTTGAATCTGTGAATACAGTTATATGACAGAAACTAATTAAATCGTACTAATACAACAACATACCACAACTCCAGATTTAATACTTTTAATACAGCAACACAAGATAAATTATATTCTTAAGGCACTTAAATTATTACATTATCAGTATACTTTACTCCTGCCATATTGCCTTACTAGATTATTTATGATAATACTTGAGATGGATGAAAGATTAACTCATCTTTATCTCCTCTTTTGAGAATTGTTAGAAATCTCAAAGCATTAAAATGAAGTTCAATCAGTGCTTACTCTTCTTAAGTTTTGTTTAGAAAAACAATGTAAAAGCTGTTTGGCTCATTTAAACAAGCCTTATGACATTATTACTGAAGCAATTGTTTAAAAATAAAATATAACTAGCTTTAAATCTTACTGGTTGCAAAACTAAGTGAAACAAAATTATCTGGTTAATTTCTAGATACAATTCTGTCATCTTTTTCTGAAATTTCTGCCTGTACTGTCAGCTGTTTACCTTGTATGGTTGATATTAAAATATTACTGGTAATAAATAATATGTTAATTATCCAATAAATTGAAATTGATCAAGTATAAAAATTCTCAAAAATATATTTCGTTAACATCATGAGTTAAAAAGAGAGTTTGTTCGTTTGGCTCTTTGCTGTGTACATCATCGGAAATAGAACCCCAGATTTTAGCATTGCAAGTCTGTAGACTTACCACTGTCCCACTGGGGACAAAAAGAGAAAGAGTATAG